ATTGGGCTGAACCTTGTAGTCTTGCCACAAACTCATTTATTGGCTGAGAAAATGGACCTAGCACCTGCTGGAAGGTGCTGAAAACTCTGAGATCTGTAAGAAAAGGGAGCAGAGGTACAGGTCTAGACTGTGAAGAAAGAACAGGGGCAGTCAGCAATGGACTTCCCTTTCTTTGAAACACAGTAACCCCACCAAATTATTGATAGTTCAACAATTCTTAACCTACTGGGGACCCAAATACACAAATAATACATATCATGTATGTAAGCTGAAGTTTTATACAAGTCTGCAAAGACTTCTATATCTAACAACTATATTTATGTGAAAACCCACAGCGGTTATAAACAGGCCTCTCTATTTATTATGTAAATTCACTCTGCATCATGAACCTAGTTGGCTAAGGGTTAGAAGAGTATGAATTGGGATCCTCTCCACAGGAGGTTTACAGCCTAGATGAGAAGCAAAATTCTATACATATTGGATGTTTGCCAATTAGTGAATGACAACAGCCATGATTATTCTTATGTTCTTAGGACTAGGCTAAATACTTTCTACCCTGTTTAATATCATCCTCAAATCTACTTGCCCAAGGTCACGATGTTAGAAGGTCTGAACCCACGTAGGTCTGAACCAAAGTTAGCACTTCACTACTTGCTGAATGCTTCTCTGCAAATAGCTCCTGCACAAAGCTCACTGCTAGGCTCCTGGTGAGCAGGGTACTAAGTTTAGTCACAGCAGGTATGAGTACACTTATATGTCTACAATACCTGAAGAGACAAGGTGATCATCTCTATGGGACCATGACAGCATGTAAAAAAAACCTGTTAATGGTGTGGTGTAGGCATCACATATGTAACCACTTAAAGAATGGAGATATACTGGTGAGGATAAGCATGCAGAGGAATGCCCATGAGAGATTGAATTGAGCTGGTCCTCAGAGGCCAGATCTCCAGAGGAGGAGAAGGAAAGAGGCAGCATGCCTCAACGTCAGCAACTACAGAGGCAGGACTATGGGCAGATGCCAGGGAGAGAAGGCATCCTACAGAGTAGAGACAGCTCAGGATCAATGAAGTGTACTGAAACTATGGCATGTCCTCATAGCCAAGCAGAAGTTCCAGACCCAATGAAGAGGGTGAAAGAAACCAAAGAAACCATCTCATGTGGCTGGGCAGGGCAGCAAAGAGCAGAAACAGCACTGCTTGAAGATGGCTGAGGAAATTATGTAGTAGACCGAGAGAAAGGCTGAACAGGGGGTGGAAGTCAGGGCCCAGGTCAGCACATGTATATGGAACAGAACATGCAGTGGGTAAATTTTGGAAGACGAAATGTGAATTGTGGGGAAGCTCATGGACCTGGGAGTGGTTCAGAGGGATAGCACCTATGTCTCCAGGATGGCAGACAAAAACCTGTTCCAAGGTACTCTCTCATCTCTAAGAGGGCAGGAGCCCTGGCAGGAACTTGATACTCCAATGCTTAAGCAGGTTTGGAGGTTAGCATTGCCTAAACATCATTTCTGAATTTTAAAAAGTATGCCTGCTTCTCCCTCCCCCCCCCCCCCCCCCCCCCCCCCCCCCCCCCCCCCCCCCCCCCCCCCCCCCCCCCCCCCCCCCCCCCCCCCCCCCCCCCCCCCCCCCCCCCCCCCCCCCCCCCCCCCCCCCCCCCCCCCCCCCCCCCCCCCCCCCCCCCCCCCCCCCCCCCCCCCCCCCCCCCCCCCCCCCCCCCCCCCCCCCCCCCCCCCCCCCCCCCCCCCCCCCCCCCCCCCCCCCCCCCCCCCCCCCCCCCCCCCCCCCCCCCCCCCCCCCCCCCCCCCCCCCCCCCCCCCCCCCCCCCCCCCCCCCCCCCCCCCCCCCCCCCCCCCCCCCCCCCCCCCCCCCCCCCCCCCCCCCCCCCCCCCCCCCCCCCCCCCCCCCCCCCCCCCCCCCCCCCCCCCCCCCCCCCCCCCCCCCCCCCCCCCCCCCCCCCCCCCCCCCCCCCCCCCCCCCCCCCCCCCCCCCCCCCCCCCCCCCCCCCCCCCCCCCCCCCCCCCCCCCCCCCCCCCCCCCCCCCCCCCCCCCCCCCCCCCCCCCCCCCCCCCCCCCCCCCCCCCCCCCCCCCCCCCCCCCCCCCCCCCCCCCCCCCCCCCCCCCCCCCCCCCCCCCCCCCCCCCCCCCCCCCCCCCCCCCCCCCCCCCCCCCCCCCCCCCCCCCCCCCCCCCCCCCCCCCCCCCCCCCCCCCCCCCCCCCCCCCCCCCCCCCCCCCCCCCCCCCCCCCCCCCCCCCCCCCCCCCCCCCCCCCCCCCCCCCCCCCCCCCCCCCCCCCCCCCCCCCCCCCCCCCCCCCCCCCCCCCCCCCCCCCCCCCCCCCCCCCCCCCCCCCCCCCCCCCCCCCCCCCCCCCCCCCCCCCCCCCCCCCCCCCCCCCCCCCCCCCCCCCCCCCCCCCCCCCCCCCCCCCCCCCCCCCCCCCCCCCCCCCCCCCCCCCCCCCCCCCCCCCCCCCCCCCCCCCCCCCCCCCCCCCCCCCCCCCCCCCCCCCCCCCCCCCCCCCCCCCCCCCCCCCCCCCCCCCCCCCCCCCCCCCCCCCCCCCCCCCCCCCCCCCCCCCCCCCCCCCCCCCCCCCCCCCCCCCCCCCCCCCCCCCCCCCCCCCCCCCCCCCCCCCCCCCCCCCCCCCCCCCCCCCCCCCCCCCCCCCCCCCCCCCCCCCCCCCCCCCCCCCCCCCCCCCCCCCCCCCCCCCCCCCCCCCCCCCCCCCCCCCCCCCCCCCCCCCCCCCCCCCCCCCCCCCCCCCCCCCCCCCCCCCCCCCCCCCCCCCCCCCCCCCCCCCCCCCCCCCCCCCCCCCCCCCCCCCCCCCCCCCCCCCCCCCCCCCCCCCCCCCCCCCCCCCCCCCCCCCCCCCCCCCCCCCCCCCCCCCCCCCCCCCCCCCCCCCCCCCCCCCCCCCCCCCCCCCCCCCCCCCCCCCCCCCCCCCCCCCCCCCCCCCCCCCCCCCCCCCCCCCCCCCCCCCCCCCCCCCCCCCCCCCCCCCCCCCCCCCCCCCCCCCCCCCCCCCCCCCCCCCCCCCCCCCCCCCCCCCCCCCCCCCCCCCCCCCCCCCCCCCCCCCCCCCCCCCCCCCCCCCCCCCCCCCCCCCCCCCCCCCCCCCCCCCCCCCCCCCCCCCCCCCCCCCCCCCCCCCCCCCCCCCCCCCCCCCCCCCCCCCCCCCCCGCCCCCCCCCCCCCCCCCCCCCCCCCCCCCCCCCCCCCCCCCCCCCCCCCCCCCCCCCCCCCCCCCCCCCCCCCCCCCCCCCCCCCCCCCCCCCCCCCCCCCCCCCCCCCCCCCCCCCCCCCCCCCCCCCCCCCCCCCCCCCCCCCCCCCCCCCCCCCCCCCCCCCCCCCCCCCCCCCCCCCCCCCCCCCCCCCCCCCCCCCCCCCCCCCCCCCCCCCCCCCCCCCCCCCCCCCCCCCCCCCCCCCCCCCCCCCCCCCCCCCCCCCCCCCCCCCCCCCCCCCCCCCCCCCCCCCCCCCCCCCCCCCCCCCCCCCCCCCCCCCCCCCCCCCCCCCCCCCCCCCCCCCCCCCCCCCCCCCCCCCCCCCCCCCCCCCCCCCCCCCCCCCCCCCCCCCCCCCCCCCCCCCCCCCCCCCCCCCCCCCCCCCCCCCCCCCCCCCCCCCCCCCCCCCCCCCCCCCCCTCCCCTCCCCCCCCCCCCCCCCCCCCCCCCCCCCCCCCCCCCCCCCCCCCCCCCCCCCCCCCCCCCCCCCCCCCCCCCCCCCCCCCCCCCCCCCCCCCCCCCCCCCCCCCCCCCCCCCCCCCCCCCCCCCCCCCCCCCCCCCCCCCCCCCCCCCCCCCCCCCCCCCCCCCCCCCCCCCCCCCCCCCCCCCCCCCTCCCCCCCCCCCCCCCCCCCCCCCCCCCCCCCCCCCCCCCCCCCCCCCCCCCCCCCCCCCCAAACAGAAT